TTAACAAATTAAAAATAACTTAAGACATGTCTGAGTGCACAGCTGTGATTCTAAATGAGTGACAACATAACGGAGATGTTGAAGTTACGTTGAACAATTTTCATTAGTTGAGATGAAAATTTAAATTTAAATTTAAAAAAGGTTATTCTTGTGGAGCAGTTACATAATTTTCGCGCTCACGTAATCGAAAAAAGATTGATTTTACAAGTTGTTCAAATAAACCGAATTTGTTATTTCCAAAAAAAAAAAAACGGAATTTGTAAAGATAGCTCGTTTTTTTTTTTTTTTTAATTTTATTTTTCCTTCTCAAGAAAGAGAGAGAGAGAGCGCGCGCTAGCATCATAATTTACGTATGTTTAAATTTTGGTTACACGCTGTCATTTGAATGAGAATAAATGTGAGCTTAAATAATATATATTTAGTATTAACAAATATTTTGGAATTTTTATTTGTGTAATAAAAATACACATATTTCAAACATAATATCATTTGCATGTAGCTTCTATTATATTTTTTAGTAATACAACAAGATACTTGTATTTTTTTTTTTGGAAACAGATACTTGCATTTTTCAATGTGCATGTAACTTTTTTTTAATACAAATAAACGTAACAAATGGAATAAAAATAGTTTATTTTTTTAAAAATAGTTATTTAAAAAAGAAAAAAAAAATCACTGAGCATACTATGCACTCGTTTGTTTGAACACTCAGCCGCTTCAAGAATTAAAGATTATCCCTACATACTAACACGAAATTTTTCAGTGTATTTTTTTATCACTTGCACATTTTTTGGAAAAACTTGTCAGGAGGTCACCCATCCTATAATTGCCCCAAGTCAAGCACGCTTAACTATGAAGTTCTTTAGTTTCGGCTATCGAAAAGTAGATGTATCTTGTTAGTATAGATAGTACCAATTAATTGTTACAAGCTATCTGTAACTGTGCAGTCTCATAACTGCACTATCTTTGAAATTCTTCTCTTTCGGGTGTCGATTCGATTCATTCGTTCATATAACCCCCCACTGAAAGCTTGTCAGGAGCCGCTCATTGTCCATGTCTTTTTGCACTGCGCGATCACTCCCCGGCCCTTGTCAGCGCTCGATCAGGATGTTACAATTGAGGTGTAAATAGACTAAGCAATCTATCAAGAGCCTATATCATAATATGTGCTAGCTAGCTAGGTCTATTCTTACGTGACTTGTTTATTATAACTTGCAAGGTTTAGGTTTGAAAATAAATTTATTTAAAAAAGCCTAGGGTTCAATGTTTCATTTTTAAAAATTCTATCTTATACATCTGTAGGTCAGCCTCTCTCTCTCTCTCTCTCTCTCTCTATATATATATATATATATATATATATATATATATATATATATATATATATATTTGGTTAACAGGTCAACCTATATTTATTTGTTAAAAAAATAACAAGAAACAATTATCATGTGAATAATAGTATTGAGATAAGAGTACATCTCTTGCTCGAGTAATTAAAGTGGTTGTAATAGAATAAGGGGAAAATATGTGACATTATTTAGTTAATTAGGTATTTATGCAGATATGATATGTCAAATTGATCTTGTTCGGCCTTAGGCTAGGTATTTAGGGAAATAATATGTGAAATTTCTAAGCCAGTCAAGTTTTTGCGTAGAAATGATATGTCATATTCATCTTGTTCGGGCTGGGTATATAGGAAAATAATATGTGACTCGATTAGGTATCTACGCAAGGTATATTAAAGGTTTATCTTCTGTTCCCAAAAAAATAAATTTTTTTTTTATCTTGTTTGTCTCTGGGATGAGCAGAGTGAAAAATAGGAGTGTAAATAGGTTAGATTAAGTTAAGCTTTAATTTAAATAGCTTAGGCCTGTGTAAACTATTTTAGGTCTGCCCTGACCTGTTAGTCTTATACATATCCAAATTATAAGTCTGTCCTATCCTATATTTTTTTTTTAAAAAAATATTGGCTTAGGTCTATTAGCCTGTTTAAACCTATTAAATATTCAATAATTAAATAAATAATTAAAAAATATTATTTTATTATTCAAATTTATTAAAATAATAATTTTATTTAGAATAAATAATATGATATAGGCTGATCAGGTTCATGCCAGACATGTAAAAAAAAAATCTATGGCCTATTTTCTAAGGGAAAAGTATTTCTCCAGTCACCGGAGATAAAGTTATCTTCAATGAGTTCAAAACGACATCGTTTTGGGTTATAAGATTAAAAAATTATAATAACAAAGACTAATATAACACTGCAATACATTATAATTACAAAAACACATTAATTTTCGTCCTAAAACGACGTCATTTTGAGCTCACTGGAGATAACTTTATCTCCGGTGACTGGAGAAATCCTTTACCCATTTTCTAAATAGGTTTTTTTGAAAATCTAGGTTTGCTTTATTTGACTACATTTAATAGGCCAAGTCAGGCCTAATATAAGCTAGGTTGTAGGCCGGCCTAACCCATTTACATCCCCAGTGATAAGATTATATATGACCAAAAGAGTGCGAATTCTTAACCTTTTATCAGTGTTTAAAAACTTGGCCCGACTATCGACTCGGCCGAGGTCAGGGGTCATCAGTCACAGGTTCAACCGAGGGGGTTACAGGGTCACTTAGTTGACCCAATTTTATAACATTAAAAAAATATAAATATATATCCTACATGACAAATTCAAAAAAATTGAATCACTAGTCATCAAAGATTCAAAATAACTTAACACAATTTAACCAATTACATCCACAAGTCAATGTTACACAAACTAATCAAAGTATCAAAGTATTAAACGCATATTCCAACAAAGTTAATAAAAAGTTATATCATCAAACTGTGGCCTTCTTTATTTTTCTCACGCACTTACAACAACGTGTGAAAGGAGATTCCTTATCCAAGAGAGAACACAGGAGGAAAGGCGACTACACGACGAATCAATGATGAGGAGAGAAGAACCAGCACGGTGGAGGAGAAGGAGAGAGAAGACCGAAGAGGATAGAAGGAACCACCACCACGTCGGAGGAGAGGCAAAGGAGATCGCCGAATCAGGGAGACTGAGTTTGGGTCTGGGAGAGAAGATCAGAAGAGAAAAAAGAAGAAGAGCGATTCAGATTTCAGATCTAGTTCTAGATCTATGTAACAACGAGTTTTTATTTTTACACACCATACGACGTTGTTTCGCGTGTAATTTTTAAAAAAAATAAAAAAATGCAATGACTCTTAATCCCTCTGACCCTTGGGTCACTGGTTCAATCGAGAGGTTTCGAGGGTCAGAGGGGTCAACGTACATGCATGGTTTAACTGCTGACCCCAATCCTCATAGAGAGGGGTCAGTGACCGATGGAGTCGACCTCGGGGCGGGGCAGAATTTTAAAACACTGCCTTTTATGGGCCTAAACTTTTATTCAGACACAAAGTGTATATCTTGGCATGATACTTGAAGTGATTGCGGTATAATTTATAATTGCAAAATTATTAGGGAAATTTTTTTTATTAAAATAACCGTCTCAGATTATCTTTTGAAGGCGGTAGTAGAGGCGGTTAAAATAACCGCCTCAGAATATGTTTTGAAGGCGGTTAGAATAACCGCCTCAGATTGTCATGTAAAGGCTGTTATTCCAGCGGTTTCTAAAAATTGCCGCGTTTTGCCTCGCGACGGTGATAAACGAGGCAGTTTATGAACCGTCGAACCAAGCATTTAGAGGCGGTTTGAACCGCCTCTAAATGCAAATATAACCGCCTCTAAATACGTCGGAGGAGAGGCAGAGTAGATCGCCGAATCAGGAAGACTGAGTTTGGGTCTGGGAGAGAAGATCATAAGAGAAAAAAGAAGAAGAGCGATTCAGATTTCAGATCTAGTTCTAGATCTATGTAGCAACGAGAAAAAAGTGCAATGACTCCTGACCCCTCTGACTCATGAGTCACTGGTTCAACCGAGAGGTTTCGAGAGTCAGAGGGGCCAACGTACATGCAGGGTCTAACTGCTGACCTCAATCCTCATAGAGAGGGGTCAGTGACCCGATGGAGTCAACCTCGGAACGGGGCATGATTTTAAAACACTGCCTTTTATAGGTCTGAACTTTTATTCAGACACAGAGTGTATATCTTGGCATGATACTTGAAGTGATTGCAGTATAATTTATAATCACAAAATTATTAGGGAAAAGTTATATTTATCAATTTTTTATTTACAAACTATACTTTTTCTTACCTGTAAGAAACTCTTGAGTTAAGTCTTACCAATAAGACATAGTATAATTTGTAAGTTATAAAAAAAATGTTTGTCAATGTAACCAATATCAAATTATTATACTATTTTTGATTAATTTTTATTTTTAATGTTTTAAATATTTATTCTATCCTTTTCATATAAATTTTTTAAAATATTAATTAAATGAAACATATAATTTTTTGAGATTGTTAATAAAAATATATCAACGAAACTAAAAAGCGAACCATACATCAACTTAATGCATGCCTGTTTCACCCAAGAATCATGATTGTGACATGCAAAATGGATTTGTTCAGTAACGCGGTCTGTATGGCAATTTTTTTGGATTCTCAATTTCTCATCATCACTTATGTGGTGCGTAAAATTAATTTTGAGAAAAACGAAGTTTTTTACATTTTTTATTGAATAAAATTGATTTTATGCATGAAACCCACTAATTTTTTTAAAAAACATACTCATATTATTTACACAATCAAAATAAAATCAATTTTTCCAAACTCAATTTAAAAATAGATGTACCCATCTCGGTCGAATCTATTAACTCGTATGAGTAATAAATTAAAATTTAATGTAATATTTATTATTGTTAATTACGTTTAGTATAAAACAATATTTTTTTAATATTAATTCTTGAAAATTGAAATTAACTCCCCCCCCCCAGTGTCTGTGGTATCTATATAAGTGCTCCATTACGCCCTTGGTCTTCCACACAAGAATTTCATTACCCTTTCTCATTCTCTCTACCCTTTTCAAAACAAAAAAAATGGCTTCACAACTCTTCTCCTTGTTCTTCCCACCACTTCCTTCTTCAACCACGCTAACCTTCAATACCTTTTTCGGTTTTCTCTTTCTCGTAGCCGTCTTCGGCTACTGGCTAGTTCCCGGTGGTCTTGCTTGGGCTCTGTCGAAGCACAGAACTTCAATTCCCGGCCCTTCCGGTCTTCCAGTTCTTGGCCTTGTTTTAGCTTTCACTGGAACTCTTACTCATAGAGTCCTTGCTAAGCTCGCTTATACCTTCAAGGCCAAGCCTTTAATGGCATTCTCTGTTGGGTTTACTCGTTTTATCATCTCCACAAACCCTGACACGGCCAAAGAGATTCTCAACAGTTCAGCTTTCGCTGATCGACCTGTTAAGGAATCAGCTTATGAACTTCTCTTTCACCGAGCAATGGGTTTCGCACCCTTTGGTGAGTACTGGAGGAATCTGAGGAGGATTTCCGCTACTCACATGTTCTCTCCTCGGAGGATTGCTTCCTCCGGCGAGTTTCGTGCCACGGTTGGGGCTCGGATGGTGAGGGATATCATGGGCATGATGGAGAGGAACGGTGAGGTTGTGGTGAGAAAGGTGTTGCATTTTGGGTCGTTGAACAACGTGATGATGAGTGTGTTTGGGAGGAGTTATGAGTTTGGTGAGGGTGGTGATGGGTGTGAGGTTGAGGAGTTGGTTAGGGAAGGGTATGATTTGCTTGGGGTTTTCAATTGGAGTGACCACTTCCCTCTATTGGGTTGGTTGGATTTCCAAGGTGTGAGGAAGAGGTGCAGGAATCTGGTGGCAAGAGTGAATCTTTTTGTTGGGAAAATCATATGGGAACATAGGATAAAAAGGGTTGTTCAAGTTGAAGAAGAAAAGAACGCCGATGAGTGCTATGGTGATTTTGTTGATGTGCTGCTCCATTTGGAGAAAGAGAACAGGCTTCAACACTCTGATATGGTTGCTGTTTTATGGGTGAGTTTTTCTTTAATTATTTCATCTCATTTTAAGGTTATGATAATGCGCTTCAACTCTTTTAATTAGTATAAAGTCCTTTTTTCCTCTTTTTAATCCTTGTAATGTCCAAAGGAAAAGTCTTATTCTTAATTTTGCTAAGTATCGTTAATAACGCATTTTAATTTAGAGTCTCCATATTTTTATGCCTGTGCGTTGCTCTTTATAAATGACCTTACATGTATTATATATTTTAATTTCAAATGTTAATGGGCTATATATAATGTAAATTTAATATTTTTTTTCAGGAAATGATCTTTAGGGGCACTGATACAGTGGCAATACTTTTAGAATGGATTCTTGCAAGGATGACTCTGCACCCAGAAATCCAAGCAAAGGCCCAAACAGAGATTGACTCAGTTGTTGGCTATGGTCGAATAGTGACTGATCTTGACCTTCCAAACCTGCATTACCTACGTGCAATAGTAAAGGAAACATTAAGGATGCACCCACCGGGTCCTCTCCTTTCATGGGCCAGGCTAGCAATAGAAGACACCCACGTAGGACAGCACTTCATTCCAGCTGGCACCACAGCAATGGTGAACATGTGGGGCATAACACATGACCATGATGTCTGGTCCGACCCAGAAAAGTTCAAACCGGAGCGATTTATGGAAGGAGAAGATGTCCCAATTTTGGGGTCTGACCTAAGGTTGGCACCTTTTGGTGCTGGAAGAAGGGTATGCCCTGGTAAAGCAATGGGCTTGGCTACCGTTGAGCTTTGGCTTGCAATTTTACTTCAGAGCTTCAAATGGATGCCTGGTGATTCTGTTGTGGACTTGTCTGAGTGCTTGAAACTCTCTCTCGAGATGAAATCCTCTCTGGTCTCCAATGTTGTTGCAAGGCCTGCCCTGCCGCCGGTACTTGCTTCGGCCATGAATAAATGAACAAACCATCTTATTTATGTCAACTTCCAATATAACTTACATGATAATCTTTGAATCTATAGGCATTAGTCAAGCTAGTTTAGTTGGATTATGTTACTCTTCTATCTAATCGTTTTATCAATGTAAGCTTGAAAATGCTTCTATAATTAAATGAAGTTTTATATTATGCTATGTTTATGTAGTTTATTAAAGTTTGCTTCCTTGCACCAAATTTTAATTGAAGTTCATAGATATAATGCCAATGAACGACACTTTAATGAACTCTTTTAACTACAAATTTTATCATAATGGGATAAAACATCAGGTTAAACCAACGACTGATGTAAAGAACCTTGAGGTCACTACCCCAAAAGCTAGCTCAAGGGGTGGGAGTGCCCAAAGCCTTATATAGGCCATATTAGTTGCCCATCCAATCAATGTGGGACTATATGTCTCAAAGGGGTGGGAGTGTCCAAAGCCTTATATAGGCCATATTAGTTGCCCATTCAATCAATGTGGGACTATATGTCTCAACACGCCCCATCACGCAAGAGCCCTTTAGGCTAGAAGTGTGGAAATTGCACAGGCCCATTTTTTGTTTACCTTTTTGTGCTTTTTTTTTTTTAATTCCACATTTTAAAGCGGGGGACGGTGAGGCTCTGATACCATGTAAAGAACCTTGAGGTCACCACCCCAAAAGCTAGCTCAAGGGGTGGGAGTGCCCAAAGCCTTATATAGGCCATATTAATTGCCCATCCAATCAATGTGGGACTATATGTCTCAACAACTGATTATATGATTTTTTATAGTTTTGTAACTTCAACTATCTTAATAATAAAATTTAAATCGCTCACGACTTGTTAAGTGTAGTGAGAAATGAGTAAGAAACTAAGAAATATTGTTGTCACTGGTCACGTGATGATATACGGTTTAGATTTTATTGTCAAGTTTAACAATAGTTGTAAAGGAATATAAAAAGTTTATAATTAATGATTAATTATTGGTGTTTAGAGGGAATGCTTTCATTCTATCTCAACATGTTATCAATAAAAAGTTTTGGGCAAAATGTGATTTCATATGAACTCCGGAAGCATCAATGTAGTTTAATCTATTAATATAATATAGAGAGAGCTTATGAAATGAAATAAGCGATTTATTATAAAAATAAATTGATTAAATATTTTAATTATTGTTATTCATATGTAATTCAATGATAAAAATTTGCTATTTTCATCTCTCAATAGACACACAACGGCCTTGGGGATTTTTTTTTTCTTTCCAGTTTGATTAGGGGAAGTTACTCATGACAGAGATCACGTTTGTTTCATTTGATGCTTTCATGTAAGCAAGCGATTTTGGACTTTCGACCGTTTCCATTCATATGAGACGAGAGTGGGAATTTAGGTTTCGTTTCCACAAGAAACCGAAGCTAGCTAACCAGCAATCGAGTTAATGATTAATTAAGAAAGTCACTATGAGAAAGGTAGATTTTTCATCTTTTGTAAAAATGAAGCTTTGTTCCCTCCGAGTTGCAATAGACTACATAACGATGGGGGCATGCATGTTGATTTAAACCCACGTAGAAGAATGGCTATGGCATAACTTTGTTATTTGCCGTTGAAAACGTATATATATGTTTTGCAAATCAAGCAAGAAGGAAAAAAAAAACAGAGAGAAAACGTATATAAAGTTTGAGAAATGAAAGTGTGAGCAAAAAGTATTTTTAGTCCCCTCTTTTATTTGGATGACTTATAAATAAGGAAAATAGAAAAGTAGAAAATTATAATATTACAATAATATTTATCTTTTTTTTTTTTTTTTACCAAGTTGGCCATATTCTAAAAATAATATAATAATTATGTTAAAACATGTACAGTATGTAGAGAGGAATTAAGAAACTTGGTCAGCGACTCAGCATGCATGAATCATGATGACATAATGTAATATAATTTAAGTAATGAAACCAATGATTTCTGTATGTTCATTATGGCTGCATCATTTATCCTGCGCAGTATCGCTTTTTGAACGGTCGTGAAGTGTGGGTGGAGGGGACTGGTGGAAATGAAAAATTGATTCCTTGTTATATAGGTTATGAACTAGCAAGTAGCGTGATGATCACAAGAATTTCGCCTTTTTCTCTCGTTTTATCGTGACCTCGCAGAAACTTTGAAATGATTGAGGAATAAGAACCTAAAAATCATATATAATATGGGCCTTTTTCTTTTGCAAGATCCATATCCTTCTGAAGAATATATTTACCAGAGAAAATGTGCCTGAAAAAGCTGTGCTCCTTTCTCAACAATAAAAAAAAGGCCCAAACAGGATTTGAATATCCAAAGAAATTAATATCTTTCTTATTGTTTCTATTTGCATCATATTATATGCAAGTTCCCTGTCACCCTCTATATTCCTTTCCTCCTTCTCAAGTCACAACCAGCTACCATCCATCATGAACACATTACTTATTAATACTCAACCAAAATGCTAAGAATCACAATATATGCTAAGGGATACTATTAAATTCTCTTTTACAATCGTTCACATTAGTCTGTGACTGTTGTATATCTGTAACGAGGATTGACATATTCCATGCATGTGACCCGCGTCAATACTCATTATCAGGATGATCCATTTGGTCTAATCCAATTTAGTCAGTTAATTAAGAATTTAGGTATACTGCTTTTGACAACTATATATATATATATATATATATATATATATATATATATATATATATATATATATATATATTAATTATTAATTTGCAATAAATGATAACCGTTGATTGACAAAAATCAACGGTTAAAATATAATTATAAAAAGTTGTAAACAAAAATAGGTTGTAAGCGTAACCTTCCTTTTTATATTTTTATATATATATATATATATATATATATATATATATATATATATATATGAGGCAGGATCCTTTGACACCTCATCTGATAGCTGTTAGATCAAAAAAGATCAATGGTGTCACATGCTTGCAAATCAGAGTCGTTGATCTTTTTTGATCTAACGGCTCTCAGATGAGGTGTCAAATTTGAAATTTGACACTGGTGTCAAAGGATCCTACCTATATATATATATATATATATATATATATATATATATATATATATATATATGGGACATGATCCGTTTACAAACTTTTTTTGCAATTACACTAATGTAGGACCAGTCGTACACTGTGGGATTAATGTAGGACCGGTCCTACATAGTGTAGTTTGTAAACAAAAAAATTTGTAAATATAACCTGCCCCTATATATATATATATATATATATATATATATATATATATATATATATATATGAGGGATTATATTGACAAACTTTTTTTCTTGCAAACTACACTAATGGTCAGATTTAGTGTAATTTGCGAGAAAAAAGTTTGTCAATATAACCTTCTCCTATATATATTATATTTTAGGATATATATCTGCAATAAAGCAATGCATTAAACAAAAACAAAGTGTTTATGTACCCAAAAAAAAGTGTTTAATGCCGAACATTGAAACTTCATTTGTTGTTATTTCTGATTCTTTTATTGTTTTGCTTACTTGTAAACATCTAAATAGGAAAGAAGGATAAATGGTTTAATAAAAGATCGAACTTTCACACCTAAATCTTTGAAATATGAATTATTATCAACTAATCTACAAGCTCTTTGGCACATTGTTCATCCTTTTACAAGAAAGTTTTACAAGTTATATATTAAGATGCCACAAAAAAGTAGATCTCACACTGGCATAAATTTGTGAAGGGAAAATTTAGTGAATCGAATTAGGAGGAAGATTGTAGTTGAAGTATTGCTAAATCTAGTAAAAATATATGCTTGAAATAGAAAATCAAAGTTTAAATCCTCAAATAACATTTGTATATGTAATTGGGATTCCTATTAGTCGAAAAGCAACAATTAAAAACAATAAAGAAATAAACAAGTAGAAAGAGTGGAATTAAAAAACATGCGCCGCCTCCTCAACTATGAAAAACTTAGGGTCCTAAAACCCCTAGGTGAAGCATACGAACGAATCATCATCCTCCACCACCAATTGCACTAATAGAACAACCCAGAAAAAATAAAATAAAATGTACCTATAGGAAAATTTTCTCTGTTATATATCGTACTAATGAAGAGATTAAAGAACCTAATTCTGAACTGCCTTTGCGTTGCATGCGCCTTAAAAGCATACATGTGGCTGAATTATTAATAAATGTGTAACCATCATACTGGCCTGTTGGATGCTTCTCCAACATATGCTTTGGCATGTAAAATAAACACTGGAGGGCAAAAGTACATCCTTCTAATATGCTCTCTGATTTACGGTCCACTCAAAATTATATTGCTTTTGAGTTATAATAAAATCATGCTGATCCTATGACATCTACTATTTACTTGTTAATTTGATATATTAATAATATGTTAACATATATAGTGAGAGTATGATTATTAAATAGGTGGCGAAGCGGGTAACCCAATCTGCCATGCCTTCAACCGACATTAAATAACCCAATTCAATCAACTTTTAAAAGTGGGGTGAAAATTCCAATCCACCAATATGCTAACCCGCCAACATATATAAGAAAAGGAATTATTTTCAAAAATTATACTCTACATAGATATAAAAAGTATCAAATGAAGATAAAAGAGGAGTAAAGAATGTTATTAATTAATTTTTTTAAAAACAAAAAATAAAAAATTAACTTGACGGGTCAACCCGTCGCCATGTCAGGCTGAATCCATTTTGACCCACTTTTAAGCATGGTGGGTTTAAATGGTTTGGCGAGTTGAAAATCTCAACGCAGACTACCATTGGTGGGTTAAATGGGCCAACCCGACATATTGAACCCGTTTTGCCATTTCTTTATATTGGATTCATATGGGCTATAGCCAAATATCTTGTATTATTTCTAGAGTTTCCCTAAAGTGGAGTTAATAGTGTAGAACATTTCGAATTTGATGTCTCTTAATATAAACTTCAAAGTTCAGATACCTCTAACTTATATCTCTCAAACCCATGACCTCCTCCAACGTTACTAACCTAATACTTGCATGAATCGGGGCAACTTCTTCTATTTTTATTGTTATTATTTTTTTAAGATAAAATCGGGGCAACTTCTTGGATCACGGGTGTGGTCCCTATTGTTCGTTGTTGCATGATGTTTAGGAGCCGCTTCACTTAACCTCTTATTACTTGTGCTTTTGGAGGACATTCAGTACATTGGCTACATTAATTTTCACACCACACTTATTGCCCTATTTGATAATATAAGGCAACTAGCATTTTCCTGAATTTTGTTTTTTCTCCATTTCTAACTCTCAAGAGGTTACCTTCTTTAAGAATCAAACCTGCGTGAATACCTCTCCAAGTGTAGTTAGGTACATGACCAAGGTTTGCTTTAAAGAAATCTGTCCTTGGGGAGCATTTTGCACTCAAAACCTTTGCCATAAACAAAGTTAGGGGATTTCAGCATCCACCACCCTTGTTTAGCTAGTACAGCAGGGTTAAATAATGCTTCAAACTCCTGATCTTATTCCACTTCTCCTTTTGTCTCATGACAAGTATATTTTTCTCTTTCCATTTTACTATTCCACCAAAAATAGTTTATTGCAAAGGGTCTAGAGAAATTTTGGCAAAAGGAAACACCTGATCATGATGAATGAAGAATTGATATTGGGCAACATTTTTTATTAGATCAACCTCTTCTTGATAAACACTTCTCCTTCCAATCCTTTAAAACTTTTAGCATTAAATAAGTGTCATTTTAATCTTAATAACTTAACACAGTCTAATTCAAAAACTTAAATTATGTAATAAAATGTGTAATTTTTTTTTTGGTAACATAAAATGTGTAATTTACTAATTAAGGACGATGAATAAGGAATTAAAATATTACACAATAAGTAAAAAGCACAAAACCTTATAGTTTGAGAATTATTGTTTTGCTTAATATAAAGGATGATAGATACTCCTTAATCCCTATACTTAGAACACTTGTTAGCAAAACTCAAAATTCTTTCCAAAAACAAGATACCAATCAATATATTTCAAATTTTGAATTATTTACTAATGAAAATTCAAAACTAATGTTTTGAAATAACTTATTGCGTATGGCACAAGAAAATTATGACAATATGACACATATTAGAATTGCAGTATTTTACAAACCAAGTTCTCTTTATATTGATTGATGATTGAACGAACGAATAATGACTTTATTTTTTTATTTGGATTTAATGCATTATCAGTGTAAAAAAATTTACATTGTTGAATGGCGGTGAAAATTTAATTTTCTACAAATACAGTATATACAAACTAAATTTATGACTAGATTGATGATTCATTGATATCTATCTTAATTGACAAAAAATGGGAAGGCGGGATTTTTATCTCTTCTTTGCACATCAACTTTATCTTAGAAATAAAAATGTATAAATTAATGACATACTTATTATATTTTTATTTAAACAAAATAAAATAACAGTTACTAAATTATATAATATTTCAAAATCATAATTTTTTTAGAAAAAGCTAACAAAATAAAGTACTAGTATAGGTGCTTACCCAAAAAAGGAAGAACTAGTATAGGAGATCAGGACTCAAAACACATTGCTTACTACATTAGTCCATTTACTGCGACTACGTTGATCTATTTCAGCTTATTGGGCTATTTGTAGCACTAAAGTTTCAGTCCTCAGCTACCATAAGCCCAACAATCCTGAAAGCCCAAAATCAGAATTGGACTAAGCCCAATCCAACTTGCACTTTGTCTCGTTTACATTGAAGTTGTAGGTTCTCGTTCTTCTTCTTCTTCTTCTTTCTTTCTCTTAAACCCTGAAGATGCCGCCATTAGCGTCTCTGCAACTTCGGAGGCTCTTACTCCGATCCTTACGTTCTCGTTCCTTATCATTCATCTCTTCCTCTTCAATTCGACCTCCTTCTATTCTTCCCCAACAACCCTCTTCCAATCTCTCATCACATTTCAAGTCCCCAAGCATTTTCACTCCACCTTCACTATTCACAATCAGACATTTCTCATCGGAAACCCAAACCATCCCAGAAGATCCGGATCCGATTGCTCGCTCCATCTCCTCGGAGCTTCTCAAAGACCCGGACTCGGACCCTCTCTCCGTGTCGCAGCGCCTCCAACTCAGCTTCTCACACATCACACCCACACCCAATTTGGTTCTCCAAACCCTAAATCTCTCCTCCGAAGCTGGCCGCACCGTGCTAGGGTTCCACCAATGGCTCGCTTCGAACCCCAAATTCGCCCACACCGACGACACTCTCTCCTATTTTGTCGACTACTTCGGCCGCCGCAAGGACTTCAAGGCCATCAACGACGTCCTCGCCGGCGGCGGGGCGGGGCCCAAAACCCTAGAATCGGCGATCAACCGGCTCGTCCGCGCGGGGCGGCCGAGCCAGGCGGTTCAATTTTTCTCGAGAATGGAGAGGGATTACGGGTTGAAGCGCGATCGCGGTTCGCTGAATGTGGTTGTGGAGAATCTGTGCGAGAAGGGTTTCGCGAGTTATGCGGAGAAGATGGTGAAGGATTTGGCGAGGGTGTTGTTCCCGGACGAGGCCACGTGCGATTTGCTGATCAGAGGTTGGTGCATTGATGGGAAGATCGACGAAGCTCGAAGGCTTGCTGGGGAGATGTATCGTGGAGGTTTTGAGCTTGGCGTTGGGGCTTATAACGCCATGCTTGATTGTGTGTGCAAGCTCTGTCGCGAGAAGGATCCATTTCGGCTTCATTCGGAGGCTGAGAAGATGTTGGTGGAAATGGATTATCATGGGGTTCCTAGGAATGTGGAGACATTCAATGTGTTGATAACGAATTTGTGTAAGATTAGGAAGACTGAGGATGCGTTAAGTTTGTTCCATAGAATGGGAGAGTGGGGATGTTATCCCAATGAGACTACTTTTGTTGTTTTGATTAAGAGTCTGTATCAGGCTGCAAGGTTGGAAGAGGGAGATGAAATGATTGATAGGATGAAATCTGCTGGATATGGTGGGGCACTTGATAAGAAGGCTTACTATCAATTCATCAACATTTTGTGTGGCATTGAGAGGATTGATCATGCTTTGAGTCTTTTTGCCAAGATGAAGGCTGATGGGTGTGAACCTGGGATTCAAACTTATGACTTGTTGATGGGGAAATTGGGTGCCCATAATCGTGTTGATAAGGCTAATGCTCTCTTTAATGAAGCCCGGAGTAGAGGACTGCCTGTTATTCCTAAAGAGTATGCTGTTGACCCAAGATACTTGAAGAAGAAGGTTAAGGTTGTGAAGGGTAAGAAGAAGAGGGAAACCTTGCCTGAGAAAATGGCTAGGAAGAGAACTCGGCTGAAACAGATTCGGTTGAGTTTTGTGAAGAAGCCTAAACGAATGATGCGTCGAGCTTTTTGATCTCATTTTTGTACTTCAAAGGTTTTGGAATAGATTTCTCTATTTTATATCATTGTTTCCTTTGTGTCATGGTTAGTTCTACTCTTAACATATTCCGAAATAAATTCTTGTATGGAAAACCGTTCCTTTGTTGGACATAACCGCATTCGTTTGATCATCCTCTTTGTTAGAAGTGACTTATGCTTGCATTTCTTATTGAGCACGTGAGGGGTGTTGTGCTTGTGCCCTGTGCTAGACACTTAGTCTCCGAGGTGTGTCCTTTGGTGCATGTAAGATTAGTAGGAGAAGAAGGCCTCTGATAGGTGTTTGATTGTAAATGATGCCAGTGTTTTGTAACTCGATGACCTTCTTTACTTATTTTGGGTTTGATCAACTTCCTATCATGACATATAGTGTCCGGTTTAGATGGTTCAATTTCATAACTTAATATCCACTCTCAACTCTTTCGGTTCTCTTTCTAGGGTCATCACTTTGCATTCGGCCATCAGTTAGGGGATCTTGTTATTCCTTTGGGCGATTCTGAATATCAGTCTTTGATGGAACTGTTATACTTGTTTTAGTTGCTGATATATGCAATCAGGCTCAAAATATTTTAGCTACTAAGAGGTTTTATTGGTTTAATATGGGATAAACATACGAATTCCAACATCCGAGGTCTGCCATGCCATGGCTATATATATTCTTGACATTGGATTGCCTATTTATACGGGAAATTCACTTCAGTGAGGACAACTATATTCCTAATTTTTTATTTCGAGCTGCAACAAGAATCTTCTCCCTATAAAAATGGGTTTTACATAAGCCTCTTTTTGGTATCAGCTGAATTGAATCGAGGCAATGAATGTAGAATATATATGCTTAGTGGATGTATTTACGTTTATTCCAGCCCTTATACCAACACCCACTGGCCTCTATACTTTGGTGGTGGAATTAGGGACATTATTAAACAGAAATGAATAAATCCGCAGGGTAGGCTATTACAAGAAATTAAAAAAAATAAGGTGAAAATTTCTTCAGTGTTACATTTCAGCATGTTATCTCTTCAATAAACGTCAGCGTATACCTTAAGCCTCCTTGTGGCTTATCAGTTCCTCAGGAAATGTAAAGTTAACCCTCATAAATAACCTGGCATCACCTCACGTTACATTACACAAAGCGTAGCTAACTTCGTTGCTTAGGTTCATGTATGAACAAACTTTCGCGTGTTGATTTAATGATTTCCTTCAAAAATAACACATTCACTGCTGAAACTCTGAAACATTCTAATCTTTTACAATAGTTGACGATTATCAGCAAAAAATACTTGCCTGCTGAATGAAACTATAGAGTCGTACTCGTATAGTCGTATATACCTAAAAGCAACCAAAACTTGGGACAATCACAAATTGGCTTGTGGTGATTAATGATTTTAGCTTTAACTTTAATCCAGACAAGATTTGAATTTATCATCTTCATAAAAAAAAAATTTCCTTCTGTTGAGGTGTATCATTATTTTTGCGTGCAAGTGAAAAAGAGTACATAATTAATTACACAGTGAAAACGCAAAAAAATAATTCTAATGACTTAACTCTGCAGCAAAGTTCCTCATAAGTGGCAGATGCTTTAAATGAATAAAGAAAGAAATATTTGTTATTGGCACAGGTTATCCAAGTGGGAACTCAAATAAAACATCATTGTCACCAATTAAGAGTCTAAATTTTTTTATACCAGACCTATAACTTATGCCTTAAGTATAATCATACAGTCACCACTTAAAAATCTGATTATGAAGCTGATAAGGATATTATTGGCATTTGCTAACTGAAACTTTGTTTCGGATATAAAAGCATGATTAGATTGCAGCCAGTTTATCACTTGTATATGATAGTTTCAGTTGAACTCAAAATCCAAACCTAACTTTGTCACGTGTGTTGGTGCTGCAAATCTCTACGCGAAGAAATGCAGTCTCTCTGGTTATCAACCACTGGATATGTTATCCCACGTGGTGGTTTTTTGGCAATCTTACTCCTCCTAGTGCTCTCTTGCACCACATTCACTTCTACGGGTACTGCATTGTTCTTGTTCTCTCTCGTCCTTGGATATCAAATTTAGTTCTTGGAAATATTTTCATACTTTACCGTTCATGAACTAATTTAAGTGTGATAACTAATTTAGTTAAATTTATGTTGTTTTAGTGATTATATATCGATGTGACATAATACATATATGTCTTCAGCATCTTTTGGACGAAGAGGAAAATATGAAAAGGCAAAAGTACATAAATGTTTCTTAATCTTACTTGAAGTGTGATACAAATTACATTTTTTTTTTTGCTTCTCTAATCTCCACTTGAGATGCAATCAAGTTAGATATATAGAGGTTTGATCTGTAAAATTGTTTGCTTTAAATACTTAACTGAGAATTTAAGTCTTCAACTTTTCCTGGTTGTTCATGTACAGAAGCCTATGATGCACTTGATCCAACTGGCAATATAACAATGAAATGGGATGTCATAAGCTGGACTGCCGACGGCTATGTTGTAAGTGATCACTGATCACTACTTTCTTAATGTGAGAAAGTTCTATGAAAAACATTATATTACTAGTTTTCATCTTTAACCTGAAAAATATTATGGAATTAGAAAGATGTGAGAACTATATAGGACAAGACCTCTATAAGGCTTGATGGATCTACTCAGTTGTACTAGCCAGGTTTCAGCAGGACCTAAAGGGTGTCTGATTGGTTAATTGGTTATTATTTTTTGACATAATTTGAGTTAACTTTAGTTGGACTGTGACAATGAATAACTTGGTATGTCTAAAGGTTATACCAATTTTCCATTAAACCTTATAAATTTAAATGTAAACAAAAATCAGCTCCTGTCTTCCCTGCTTCTTTAACATATTGAATCTTACTTGCTTGCATTGAACAGGCTATTGTTACAATGTTCAACTTTCAACAGTATCGCCATATTCAGGCTCCTGGTTGGAAATTAGGGTGGACATGGGCTAAAAAGGAAGTAATTTGGGACATGATGGGAGGCCAAACCACAGAGCAAGGGGACTGTTCAAAGTTCAAAGGGAACATCCCACATTGTTGTAAGAAGGATCCAACTGTTGTGGATTTACTTCCAGGAGCTCCTTACAATCAGCAGACTGCGAATTGTTGCAAAGGGGGAGTCTTAAACTCGTGGGCTCAGGATCCAGACACTGCTGTAAGTTCGTTTCAACTTAAAGTTGGTTCAGCAGGAACAACTAACAAAACGGTCAAACTGCCACAAAATTTTACCCTGAAAGCACCAGGGCCTGGTTATACTTGTGGCCCTGCAAAGATTGTGAGACCAGCAAAATTTATTACCAATGACAAGAGGAGAACCACTCAGGCCTTGAGTAAGTTACTTGCAAAAAGCATTGACTTGGAATTTTACATATACATGTGTCTTTCTAAACTTTGTCTTAAAACCAGTATTTCTAGATATAAGATATGGACACATTAGCATTTATTATATAAATCAGGTGTCTTACAAAATTGATGTAACTTTTGTATTCTGATAGCTTGTGTAGTTATACCAGTTCAAAGTCTATTTCGAATTTTTCTTGTTAGCAATGTTGCCTTTGTTGATGAGATTGAATTTATGAATTAGCTTTTTCATCAAACAAATAGTAAGTTGTGATGTGACTAGAAATACTTATTTGTGCTTTGTACATTGTTCAGAAAAATTCTTAGCATGAAAACCAAATTTTAGTCTTTTAGATTCTGTTTAGCTTAACCTGCATATTTTTTGGCAGTGACCTGGAATATTACTTGCTCGTATTCTCAATTCCTGGCTCAGAAAACACCAACTTGTTGTGTTTCTCTCTCATCCTTCTATAATGATACAATAGTAAACTGTCCAACCTGCACCTGTGGCTGCCAAAACAAAAAAGAACCTGGTAGCTGTGTAGAGTAAGTCCTTAAATTATATCTTTCTGTATATATCTGAAACTCTCTTCTGATATATTTTTCTTACAGTCCAAACTCCCCACATTTAGCTTCAGTTGTGTCACCACAAGGCAAAGCTATAAATACACATCTAGTCCGATGTACTAGCCATATGTGTCCTGTTCGAGTGCATTGGCATGTGAAGAACCAGTATAAAGAGTACTGGAGGGTCAAGATCACAGTCACAAATTTCAATTACAGAAAGAACTATACACAATGGAACCTCGTTGTGCAGCACCCAAATTTTGATAATCTAACCCAGGTTTTCAGCTTTAATTACAAGTCACTAACACCTTATGAGGGCTTAAGTAAGTTTCTATGTTGCATAATCATAATCCTAGATGGTCTTATGAACAAAATGTTCCAATTATTTATGTAATTATTTTGGGGCCTTGTTTTGCAGATGATACTGGTATTCTGTGGGGAGTGAAGTTCTATAATGATTTACTTTTTTCAGCTGGACCCTTTGGGAATGTGCAGTCAGAACTTTTATTTGGAAAGGACAAATCAACCTTCACATTTGATAAGGGATGGGCTTTCCCTCGAAGAATTTATTTCAATGGAGATAACTGTGTTATGCCACCTCCTGATGCCTACCCATGGCTCCCAAATACAAGTTCAAAACTAGTTTTCTCTTTATTAAGTACAGTCATAGGCACCTTAGCTTCTTTGCTACACTTATTGACTTAACCATGGAGATTAATCTCTGTGGAGAGACATAAAGAGGTCATATCTACTCTTTCGAAATCAAGTGAGCTGAAGGCATTAATCACATAGTTAATAAAATGCATAGGAGCTGCCACTGAAGTAATAGAAAATGAATGCAGGTGCATAAATGCTTGCTACTAGAATTCTCTCTTGTTATTTACTTGGAGGGTAGATTTTTACTGTCACGTATGCTCGCATTTTTGTAGCTTTTGCTTTGTATAATTAATGTGTATTTAATTATAGTTTTGAGGTTTGATATTTTAATGTGTGTTTAATTTATAATTTAGCATGACATACATGTTATCTATCTATCTATATATAGAATAAAAGTTCTTCTGCTATCTCTGATAACCTTTCACGTTTTTTATTTTGTTTGGAATAACAATTAAAGTATATTCATTTTTGATAAGTTTAAAAAATGTACTTTATTAAAATGCCCATAAAATGTTATTTCATTACATATATATAAATTCTTCTTTTAAACTTAATTTTACAAGAATATTTGAATAAATCCTTTTAAAATAACTTTGTTGTCAGAATTGTAAAAGATATACTGAGGGCCCGTTTGGTAGCAGAATTTTTTTTTGTTTTCACTGGATTCTTTGGTTGGATAAATAAGAATGCATTGTTTGGTACAGGATTTTTAAAATTTTCTTAGGAATCTGATTTTCTCGGGATTTTCTTTTGTGTGTAAATTTTTTTGAAAAAATAATCCAGGAATACCATCCAAAATGTGGTATTTTAAGATTTCTATGGTAAGGAAAAATTTAATACAACTAAACACAACATTAACAAAATTAACCCAATATTTCCGAGAATATGTTAGTCTACCAAACTACTTCTTGGTAACATTTTCAGAAAACTTATTTTCTCATTATTTTCTTGAAAATCGTAATTTTCGAATAAATTTTTTTTCTCCTATATCAAACACCCCGTGGGAGTAAGCAATTTCGAACACCGCAGGCAGCGGGTAAAAGCACGAGGTATGAGTGAAGCAGATAAACACTACTCAATGTTTTGTTTAATTTTGGAATTTTGTCAAGTTTACAAACACAAACACTGTGCCTAACCTCCACCGGCCACTTTGAATTAAATCACAACTTTGAAAAGATGGAAGGTCTAGAAATTAAATCTTATTTTTAATTTTTTTCTATACTATACAGACTAAAATAACCAACAACTTTTATTGGTCTTATTCTGAATTCGCGTTGCTAGTCAATCATTGCAAAGGGAATTTGTAGGAACTTGGGCTTCTCGTTTAGGTTGATTTTTTTTATTGCATGATCATTACTTATTAAAATTGTCACAAAATTAATTCGGAGGAATGATAAGCAATTTAGTTCAATTTCAAACTTTTTTTTTGGGTAAACAGTTCAATTTCAAACTTAAATATAAAGCTAAATCAACCTTGGTTTGCATTTTACAATTGATATGTAGTTGGTGGCATGTTCTTTGTGTGTGCTGCCCAATGGCAACATGTCAAAATGGAAAATGATACCTATACATTAAAAGTTTACATCACTTTTATACCTTGTTTATTTGAGAGAGAAAAACAAAGTGTGTTTTTCTTGTTTATTATTAAAGAAATAAAACTAGTGTGTAAATATTTTTACCTGGCCAAAAAGGAGTGCCAAAATTCAAATATCATTTGTACAATAATAATGTGAACACATTTTTTTTTTTTTATGTAGATATCGACAGTTTTTTTAACATGCGGATGTTGTTTATACATAATTTTTTATTTCTTCTTACTCTATTTTATTTTTAAATAAAAAAAACAACAGAAACACAATTCTCAACATACATGCTCTTTCTTTTTCCCCCTTAACAAGTAGGGTTCCTACGGAGCAGTGGCAAAATTGTTCCTTCGTGACTAAAAGGTCATGAGTTCGAATTTAGGAAACAGTCTCTTTGCAATTATCCAAAGATAAGGCTGCGTACAAAGACTTATTGGCTTACGTAGGAGAGACAGAAAAATAACTTTAATAAGACATAGTTAAATTTCTGAATAAAGAGAAAAAAATAACTTTAATATTATAACTATGTCTTACAGGTAAGACATAGTTAAAGTGTAGAAGCAGTCACATTATCGGTGTAAAAATATCCTGTCCCATATATATATATATATGGGACAAGATATTCTTACACCAGCATAAGAGTTATAAGTCTTGCACTCAATCTTAATCATTGATCCACTTGTATCCAATGACTCAAATTACTAAAAAATTAGAGCCCTTAGATATAAGTGGGATCAATAGGATCAATGGTCAAGATTGAAAGTGTAACTTACATTGGTATAAAAATAATCCTGACCCCCACACCAAAAAAATAAAATAAAAAATCCTGACCCTATATATATATATATATATATAATTTTACACCTGTATAAAACTAATAAACCTTACATCACATCTCAACCATTGATTTGTAACGGTTTGAACTTTTGATTTGAGCGGCGTAAATAACATCTTGTAAAAGCAGTACTTTAGCGTATAAAATGTCTAACAAATTATTAAAAAATATATTTTTGAGTTAAGTGATTGAATAAAACATATCTTGTTAAAGCCGTAATTTAATGTTTAAAATGTCAACTGACAAATTATTAAAAAAATAAATAAACGACAACTTTTGGTGCCTTGTTGGTGAAGTTCTCAATTTCCCTTCTCACTTTCAAACCCGAGAATATTCAGGAATATACTACAGCAACCTTACTAAAAGTTTGGCATGTTCAACCGCACTAATCAGTATTCTCAAGCAATAATCTTAACACTATATCTTAATCCAAAATCTTAAAATATTATATTTTAAATCCTTTTACTTATATAGTATTTACGTACTCCAATTAACCATTGACTCTGATACTACATAGAAAAATTAATTTAACACAAAAATTTAAGCATATATAACAAAATTATACATTAACTCTACATAAGCTTGTGAGTTGTAAGGCATACCCCATTTCCAGTTAATGGGCCTCTTCAGAGTGGTGTCCTTTTTATGTAGTTACTTTTTTAATAAAAAAAATAAAATCTTTATCTTCCTTGTTCCAACAAGAACAGGTTGGCTTTCACTGTTTGATTCACATACTCATAATGTATCATTGTTACTACAATATCCCGTACAGGACTAATATTTCATTATGACCAAAAAAATGTTATTACAAAAAGACTTTCAGGAAATCGGACATCAGTTCTAGATTGCTAGTAAACAATGGTCCTGATTAGAGCATTTATGCCCTGAAAAGACATCTCAGGCTTTTGTTCATTCCATCTAGATGGATATATTAAGACTGAGAGGGACAATTGTGTCCAACCCATATCATTGATCAGAATAGCCTAACGGTTTTGTCGGTCAGATATTCTACTGACAGCATCTTGATCAGAATCAGCACAAGCAAACTATTTAAATAGTTAGCAGCAAATGAAAATGGCACCATCTCAAGTTTCAACTTCACTGTGGGCTACACTGTCTAAGATGACTGGCATAGGTGTGTGTCGTTCACAATGTGCACAACTTGTTTCCTGCATCAAATGGAAAATGAAATCTTTTAATCCTCTGAACTGAGATGTATTATCAGAGAATTACGTCTCTATATATACTTCACTATGGAAAGCAATGCTGCCAGTAAACATGATTTGATTTGATTAGTCATTGATAATGACAATGTTATGATCCTGCTTCAAGGTACGAGACTTAGAGTCACACGTCGAAAACATAAGGTTCTAGTGTAGAATTTATATGGACTTTGGACTTTCCTACCTCATAAGCTAGTTTTTTGGGTAAGGTTCTCCCTAGGTTCGTATCAGCCACAAAGATACCACTTTTTCATTTTCCTCCAAAGCCTAAGAAACTTGACTTCAAGCTAGTGCAGAAAGAGCAATGCTCTAACCAAAAGTTTACCCACAGCAAAGTGCTACGTAGTATGTATGCATAGAGAAAATTATGTGATTAAATTTTCATGAAACAGTACAAGTACCTCTTCCAAAGCAACTTAAGTAATCCGGAGAGTGCAGGAAGAATCATTTTCTTGCTTCACCTGCAAGGATTGCCTCTGATGCTCAACTCGCTGAAGCTGTGATGACAATTGTAACAAGTCAATGGTTGCGCCATCTTCACAGGAATCTTCCACATTCACAAAATCTGAACCTTGGAAAACGCCACCTGCCATTTCAAAGTTGACAATACCATTATTGTCTGATATCAATACAGGACTGAGATGACTTCCATCTGCAGGATTGAATTCTGATGGAAACCTATCTGACACTCGGCTTGAAGAAGTCTGTGACCTTATTCCTATCTTTTCAGATACCTGACTCATGCTGTAGTGATGGTTATGGTTGTTTGGAATAACCAAGGGGTGGTGAGCCAAGGGAATTCCTGATGATTGGCTCGAAGAGTTCTGGGACTGAGATGACAGAAGAGAGAGAGCACAAGAGTCCGAAATTCCCGATAATCCATGAACAGTTGATGCTGTATCAAAAACATTGAAGTCCTCACTTACTAAGGAGGTATCCTGGAATAGTGATCGTGACCCAGAATTTTGGGCCCCAAGGGCAGGAGGATATTGGCTATTGTTTTCACAGAAGATGCTTCCTGTAGTGGATGTAGCACCATTTTCATGAAGAAAGGGAAATTGTTTTTCGTTATATGAAGGAAATAAAGACCTTGACTGAGGATGTACATTGGTGGTAGGCATAGAAGAAAGATGCCTAAAACCAGTTGCTTGTTCTGCTTTTATAGGTCTCCAGAAGCCACTCATTCCATATTTCTCTGAACGCATGACTGCACTAGGGAGCATCTCTGGGCAGATAAAAGATGTTGATGTTAGCACGGTTCCCTGGAATCTGCTATCTGCAAGAACCACAGGATCTTTATAAAACTTCAAATCAAACAATTTTACTAATATCAGATGACTACAAACGTAGAGAAAATTGGTGTCAGGGAATCAGTTATTACAAGAGTCACAGACTTCAATTAGCAACTACTATAAGTAAATGAAGCGGTTCAATAGTCTATTAAGGACCAAAAAGAGCCTAAGAATTTAAGCATTGCCAAACATATAGTTTAGTGAGTAATTCAAGAATCTCTAAATATTAAAACAACTGGAATTACTGCAACACACTTTTGATGTTTTAGCACATGTAAATGTAGAAAGTTTATTCAATTCCATGAATTCAATAAAAAATTAAAGGCACGGTAACATGTTGAAACTCTTCACCTTTTTCTCCCCCTTTTTTAATTAGAAATAGAAAACGAGTGGCAGTAGCCAATGTATATGCTAGAACATTGAGGTTAGTAATATGAAATAATAACTGGGAGTTAAAGTCATTTACTATTGATTAGACTTCATTTTGTTAGGAAAAGGGCACAAAGTTAATGATTGATCACAAGGAGATAGTTTAATTCGCATGGGGAAATCTTTCACTCAGACAAGTATGGTGACTGAAAATCATTTTCCCCCACAGATAACACCATTATTCTTTTTGAATAAATTACGTTTGGTTCACATCCACCACATAACCAAAGGATCCAAATTAAAGCTAGCTCCCAAATTGTACCAAAAAAGAGCTAGTTCGTACAAGGTCTGAAAATTGATAAAGAACAGAACAAAACCAGCAACTCTCAGAGAATGAAAGCTGAATAAACATTTTGAAACAAAAAAATGAGATAGCGGTTCATGTACTGTAGATGTAAATCCATCTAGTGAACCAGCACCTTTTTTTAGTGGGTGAGAAAGCAGGACATCTTTTAGCAAATTACTTCTAGAATATAATCAAGCTGCTGGACTACATTACATATTCTGAAGTGCAATGGTGTTAAGACAGGAAGTTAGTAATGACAATTGTTGGAAATCGACAATTACACAGAATCGAGAAAACAGAAAAAGAGATAAGAGTAGAGAGATTGACACGATGATTTACCCTGGTTCACCCAATATAGGCTACGTCCAGCTTGTCTGTACTATATTCACCTCACCGCCACTCGTTACAAGTCTCTCGGTTTACAAGGCAAATATAAATAGGATTACAAGAAACCCTAACAACAGCTATTCATGGGCCCAAGCCCAAACTGCTAAGAAAATTACAATAGAAACAGAGGCCTAAACATTCACCTCAGGTGAGCGGGACCCCAGTTGCCTTTCTGCTGACCCCGACAATTAGGGCCAACATCATCATGTGAAGTATGAGCCATACCCAACATTCTCCCACTTGGTGAATGCTTCACATGTTTCTTCAATCCCAAAGCATCTGTACACCATTCAAACTTCTCCGAAGTCACTGCCTTGGTCAGAAAATCAGCATTGTTGACCTTTGTGTCAACCTTCTCCAGCAATACAACCTTGTCTTCAATCTTCTCTCTGATGAAGTGGTACTGTATGCCGATATGCTTGGTCCTCGCATGGAAACCTGGGTTCTTAGCCAAGAAAATGGCGCTCTGACTGTCACACCCAACGATCATCTCTCCTTGTGCAAAGCCAAGCTCTTTGCACAACCTCCGTAACCAAATAGCTTCCTTAACAGCATGTGTCAAGGCCATGTACTCAGCCTCTGTAGAAGATAAAGCAACAGTGCTCTGCCTCTTACTCATCCAACTGATAGCTCCGCCAAATGAAGAAACAACATATCCACTTGTAGATCTTCTACTATCAATGTCACCTCCCCAATCAGCATCCACAAAGCATCTCAGCTCTAACAATGTCTGTCCCCTTGAGCCCTTCACGCCTTCATAGCATAACCCAAGGTTAGACGTACCACGAAGATAGCGGAACACACGCTTCACAGCCGTCCAATGCTCATTTCCTGGCTTGGACATATACCTGCTCAATACTCCCACTGCTTGAGCAATATCAGGTCGAGTACAAATCATGGCATACATCAGACTCCCTACTGCACTAGCATAAGGAACTGACGCCATCTCTTCTTTTTCTTCTTCAGTCTTGGGACACTGGTCAGCCGATAACTTAGAACCAGTAGACATGGGAGTCAACACAGGCTTGCAGTCAGTCATCTTGAATTTCTTCAGAACATCTTCTATGTACTTCTGCTGACTTAACCATAATCTTCGTTTGTCACGCTCCCTCTTAATCTGCATACCCAAGATCACATTTGCAGCGCCTAGATCTTTCATTTCAAACTGCTTTGCTAGCAGTCCTTTAACAGTGCTGATCATTTTCAAACTGTTTCCAACAAGTAACATGTCGTCAACATACAAAGTTAGAATAACAAAGTCACCTTCTAACCTTTTCACATAAACACAGTGATCAGCATCACAACGGTCAAAGCCAAGCTTCAGCACATAAGTGTCGAACTTCATGTACCACATCCTTGGGGACTGCTTCAGGCCATACAGAGATTTATTCAGCTTGCAGACTAGCTCCTCTTTGCCTCTTGCAATGAACCTCTCTGGTTGCTTCATGAAAATAACCTCCTCCAAATCACCATGAAGAAAAGCTGTCTTCACATCCAGCTGCTCCACCTCTAGGTCATATGCAGCTGCTACAGACAAAACCAGTCTTATGGAATTTAACTTTGCAACAGGTGAAAATACCTCACCATAATCAACCCCTTCTGTCTGTGAATATCCCTTTGCAACCAATCGAGCCTTGTAGCGTTCAATCTCCCCATTGGCACCAACCTTCTTCTTGAACACCCACTTGCAACCAATTGCTTTTCGGTCTGCAGGTAGATTCACCAAACTCCAAGTTTGGTTTTTCATCAGAGACTTCATCTCTTCTTTCATAGCTTCCTCCCACTGTTTGGCATCCTCCGAGCTCCTCGCATGTTTTACAGTGCTCGGATCATCACCTGTAATACTAAATGCACAAACATCATCACTAGCACACAGGATATAATTTTCAGGTGTATACCTCTCAGATGGTCTTCTTTCCCTCGTGGATCTCCTCAGCACTGGTGCTTCAACCTCAGCCTCAGTTTCAGAAAATTCATCCTCTACCTCATTATATTCAGCAGGTTCAGAATTCAAATTTTCCAATTCAATCTGTGAGTTTATTGTATCCTCTTTCAAACCCACATCCAACTCCACCGTCTGTGACTTTTCAGGAGCTTCAGGAAAAATCTGATTCAACTTAGATTCTCTGAATACAACGTCTCTGCTGTAAGTTACACTTCTAGTATCCGGATTCCACAACTTATAACCTTTGACGCCATCCTTGTACCCAATAAAGATACACTTTTCAGATTTACTGTCAAGCTTGTTTCTTTTCTCCTTGGGTACATGCATATAAGCTTCACAGCCAAACACTCTGATATGAGATACGTCTGGCCTTTTTTTAAACAGTGCTTCATACGGAGTCTTCTCCTTCAAAGCTGATGTAGGAGATCTGTTCTTCAGATAACAAGCAGTAGCCACTGCCTCTGCCCAAAACTCAGTTGCCAAGCCTGCACCGCTCAGCATACTCCGTGCTTTCTCCATGAGAGATCGATTCAACCTCTCTGCCACCCCATTCTGTTGAGGTGAGTAGGGCGTAGTCTTCTGTCTTACAATCCCATTGCTCGCACAAAACTTGTCAAATTTTGTTGAACAGAACTCCCCTCCATTGTCAGTTCTCAGCACCTTGATTTTTTGATCAAATTGATTTTCCACCAAAGCCTTGAACTCGCAGAATTTATCGAACACTTCATCCTTGCTGCGCAAGAAATATAACCACACATATCTTGAAAAATCATCAGTAAAAGAAACATAATACCTTGATTTTCCATGTGATGCTACAGGTGTGGGGCCAAACACGTCGCTGTGTATCAAGTCCAGAATCCCCTCAGCTCTTCCTCCTATGGAATCAAAAGATACCCGATTTTGCTTCCCTTGCAGGCAATGCTCGCAAAATCCAAACCCCATAGAGCAGCTCGGAATTCCATCCACCAACTTCTTTGATGTTAGAGTCTCCAGACCTTTTCCTCCAATATGCCCCAGCCTCCTATGCCATAACATAGCAGTGTCCTCCTCCGCCTGTTCTGAAACATAGCTTTCACCACTGAATACTGTGCTACCCAGCAGTTTCCACAATTTACCATGACGCTCTCCTCTTGCAATAACCAAAGTTCCTCGAGTCAGCTTGCAAGAATACTTGTCACTGCTAAAATTAATACCAGCATCTGCCATACTACCAACGGAGATCAGATTTCTGGTAAGCCCCGGAATATGCATCACACCCGGCAGATTCTTGACTGTCCTGTCACTCATCTTCAGCTTTACCTTCCCACGCCCCACAATTGCATGAGTCGTGTCATCTCCCATTCTAACTGTACCGCCAGAATACGATTCATAGGTGCAGAACCACTCCCTATGAGGTGTCATATGAAACGATGCTCCAGTGTCAATAATCCAATCATTACAGTCATTATGACTGTCAAACGCCATGTACAGGTCCCCTGTACTATCATCATCATCCTTCTTTGTACCCGAAGCAGACGGTTGTGAATCATCCCGCTTCTCAGGACCTACACTTTTACTTCTGCAATTCCTTCTCAGATGTCCAACCTTTTTGCACCTCCAGCACCTCATTTCAGATTTATCAGATTTATCACGGGACTTTGATCGTCCCCTCGATCTTCCTCTGTGACCAGACTTTGATTTGTCATCACTCCTCCCTCTAGCAACCAGAGCCTCATTGTTGGTACCTTCAGAACCTACCCTTCTCATCTCCTCAGACAATAAGGCAGCAACAACCGTCTCAAACGACAGTTTATTAACACTAGTACCAATTGACACAATGATGTGCTCCCAAGAGTTGGGCAGTGAACACAACAAGGTGCAAGCTTTGTCTTCCTCGTCCAGGTTAATGTCTATAGACGAAAGTTGTGCACAAATAGTATTAAATTCATTTAAATGAGCAGAGAAAGAATCACCTTCGCTCATCCGCAGATTATACAGCCTCCTTCGCAGGAACAGCTTGTTCACGAGTGACTTGCTCTGATAGAGACTTCCCAGCTTCGTCCAGAGATCCTTCGCGGTCTTCTCAGAAGTTACGTTCACCAGAACGTTATCAGCCAGGCATAACCAGATCAGGCTTCGCGCCTTTCGATCGTCTCTGGTCCACGCCTTCAACTCCTTCGACTCGCCATCACCTGACGTTTCTTCACCGACAGGTTTTGTTGGTACGGACGGCTTATCATCTTCGATCACGTACCAAACGTCCCTGTCAACGAGCAGAGCCTCCGTCTTCAGCTTCCATAACTCGAACCCTTTTCCTCTGAACTTTTCAACCTCGACCCGTGATTGGCCAGTCGACATCCTCTCCAGATCAATTTCGCAGTTTTATCTATGCCAAGAAAAAACCCTAAATCGCGAAACCCCAATCTGTCACAGGAACCCTGGTCGCAGAACCAAAGCTCTTGATACCAATTGTTGGAAATCGACAATTACACAGAATCGAGAAAACAGAAAAAGAGATAAGAGTAGAGAGATTGACACGATGATTTACCCTGGTTCACCCAATATAGGCTACGTCCAGCTTGTCTGTACTATATTCACCTCACCGCCACTCGTTACAAGTCTCTCGGTTTACAAGGCAAATATAAATAAGATTACAAGAAATCCTAACAGCAGCTATTCATGAGCCCAAGCCCAAACTGCTAAGAAAATTACAATAGAAACAGAGGCCTAAACATTCACCTCAGGTGAGCGGGACCCCAGTTGCCTTTCTGCTGACCCCGACAATTAGGGCCAACATCATCATGTGAAGTATGAGCCATACCCAACAACAATGGCATCAGAATGAAATAACAGAAAATTGTCCGACAAATGTACCAACTGGCAACTGGAATCAAAATTGAGAAGTTAAATAGAAAAGTAAACAAAAATCTTGACTAACTTTCTGCAAGGCTGTGTGGTCATATCACAGGAAGCCTTTGAAAAGTTGAAAATGAACAAATAAAAAGAAACTGGGTTTTCAAAGGCATGATTATATATTCTTTAGAATGTTATAATTAAGCAGTCAATCAAATGGAATTTAATCAGTAACGAATGCCCAGAGGAAGGATGGGAGTTTGATAAAAAAGGGAAGGATGAAGAAGAGAGGAGAGTTATATCATCATCTAATTTAAGAATATATATACATATTATTACCACCACATGGCTGAAGCAACCTCCCGGACTTTCCAGAGTGAGTATTCAATTGTGGTTTTCTTCGACGCTCGTTATGGCCTGCAAGGCGTTTCCGACAGCTGCGCTTACCATCATCAAACTCAGCCAGCAAATGAAACCTGGATAGTAAGCTAAACATTAAAGAAGAGCTATATATCATAACAATACAGCTTCTTATTTCAAGCTTGTCCATTTCTGAACATCTGAGACTGAAACAGAAAAATTAGTGAAGCAAAAATTATAGTTAATAAGCATAATCATACAAGGAAGGTAAGGAAAATGATGAAACAAAGTCAGATAAAGCTTTTAAAACCCGTGTGACGTAATGTTGAGTAGATAAAGAGTCATGTTTTAGTATTCCAAACGGCACAAAAAAGGAGACAAGCCTTTGTGAGGTCAAAAGTAATTCTGTGTATGAGCATATATTTAGCTCAAAGCAGCATGGAATCAAACAAAAAAATTCAAACCGACCTACTACATTGCTGACAAAACCTCTGCTCAATGCCATTCACTATAACCGTGGCAGTCTTGGAGTGAACCTCACAAACTTTGTGCCTCTTGTGGTAATCTTTACAGGAGCTAAGGTCCTTGTTACAGCCATAGACTTGGCAGTAAGCAGTCTGTGAGTGCAAACCTGAAGCTCGCACTCTCTTGGGGGGCGTTGATGACTCAGAAGACGACAAAATGGGTGTTCCTTTGGAAAATGCTGGATCATTAGCATCTCCATGATCAGCAAATCTTCCTAGCTTCAAATCAATGAGGGAATCCCTTCCGTTAGAGTCCACCACAGAGTTTGAAAGCTTGGAATTGGAGTCCCCTCTCGAAGAAATTGCATTTGGGGCAGCCACAACAGTGCTTGTGATTCTACTATCAAGTTTTCTGCTTGGAACACTGCCAAGAAGATCATCAGACAATTGTTTCCCCAACATTTCAGGAAAACCCAATTCCTCAAGACCTTGGTTCTCAATGTTTTGCTGCCCCAAGGCTAACATGTCATTGGAAAAACTACATGGGGTTTTCAGTTCCCAACCCAAGAATGAATTTTTGGTTCTCCCAATACTATTGGGAGGCGAGAGTGTCTCGTTGGAAACATAACCCTTTTCTTCAGAAACATAGCTCCAAGATTCCATCACACGCAACAGAATCAGGGTGTTAAGAGAAACCAAACAACAAAACAACCCACTTCAATTGACGCAGGAATAGTGTCTTAACAGTGATGCTATAGCCAAAGTTGAGCTTAAATTTCGATTTTGCATAGCCTCAGCAGAGCAGAAAGCTTAACGAGGATGAACCATGGGAGAACCAAGCATTGTTGCAAGAAAGACACAAAAAGCAAACAAATTTACTCTACCTGAAGCAAAAAGTTTTTGGACTCTTCAATTCCAGAGAAACCAAAATAGATTGAGAAAAGAAAAGAAAAGAAAAATTTGAGAGAAAAGAAGAGAAAACCCAGGTAGCAGAGGGAAGAAAGAAAGTAGAAAAAATATCAGAAGGGCACAGGTGAATATGATGAAGGTAAAGAGTGTGTGAAGTTAAGGAGAGGAGTTAATGGAGGCAAATACTGAATCCATTTAGTCATTGGGTAATGTTTTTCTTATGTCGTTGGAGACACCTTACCTCGTCTCATAGACTCTTCGAAATTTGAGCCATCAATTTTTTGTTTTTTTTTGTTTTGTTATAGTGTAGGACTCACTTGAAGATGTTTCTGTAGGAGATAGTCTTGTCTCCGATAAGGTAAAAAAAACAATCCCTTTGTTATTATACTGAAAGAGAAAGCCATTGATTGATTGTCCGACCGAGTCATGAGAGAGAGAGAGAGAGTACTTGAAAGTTGAAATAGTGGGATTGCGGAAGGTGTTAGAAGCAGACGCAACTCAACTACTTGAAAGAGATTTTTACTGAGTCGCAAGTTGCATGGAAATTGAACAATGTTTATGTTGTGAGATTCCTATTTTCGGAGACAATCACAGTAACACACACCTGTCAATCTGTGACTGTGAGTGAATCAGGTCTTAAAATCGATCCAACCAACTCATTTAAATAAAATAAAATAAAATTGGAGTATAAAAATTACAAATAAATTAATAAAATAAAAAATATTGTAACTAAATACTTAAAATGATACATATAAGGCCATTTGTATGTGAAACTGCGTGTAACTTCAAATTCAAACAAACGAAGGATAAAATAAGTTTTATTGTATTTTTTAAAGTAATCACTAATCCAGCTTGTCGTTTTTGTTAGTTTTAAAAATTAGAGTAAATGAATTATTTAATGAAACAGTAATAAATGCCATCATGCAATATGAGAGAGATATTTTCAATATTTGAGGAAAAACAGTTTATACTTTACATCTAAATTCATCATTAATTATGCAAAAAAAAAAAAAACTGCTTCAATTTTATATTCTACAGATTATTTCTTGAAATTTCCATTTCAATTTATTTACTTAAACTTTAAATATTTAATAATTTACTTTTTAAAATCTTGATTATAGGTATACCTTCTGAGGGGCTGTTTGGTATCAGTGAATTTTTTTTTTTTTTCCCAAATGGTAGGGAAAATGAGTTTGTCATATTTGGTAGGGGAAGAATTAAATTGAGGGTTGGAAAAAACTTCTCCCGTCCAGTTATTTTTCATATGAAAATGTTATCCAATTTTGCCATTTAGAACATGGAAAAAAAACCCACCACGTGGGGAAGTCAAAACAGTTTTGTTAGACAAAAACACCCTTTATTATTAGCAGAGAATGTTTGATGACCAGGGGTGCTAAACGAACCAGGAGCTCTTCAGGGGCTTTTGGCTCGGCTCGTGAAAGCTCGAGCTTATATGTCTAAAATTGGTTGTTGGTATCAGGCTTGAACTTGTATAAAAGCTCGTTTAATAAAAAGGCCTCAGGCTTCAATTCAAAAGCTCGGCCTTAGAGCCTCCCAGGCTGGCCTTGTATATTTTTTTTTTTTATATATATTTTTTATACTATTTGTAATAGCGCTCTCTTTCTCCTCAATCCATTTCACTCCATTTTATTGGTTAAATAGACTTTTTAAATGATTTTGTTCTATATTATGCTATTTGGATATACATTGAATTTATGAATATTTATGGAATTACTAGTGTTGTTGATTGTATATTATGTTTGAATAAATTTTTGTTGTCTTATTTTTTTTAAACAGGCTAAACCAGACATGTAGTTTTTATAACCAAATCAGGCCACAGGCCGATATTATATTCGTAACAAGTAACAGGCTAAGGCCAATTTGACATATGTGAACACAGGCTTGACTTGTTTAGACCAAAGATCGGCTCGTCTCGGCCCGTTAACACCCCTGTTGATGACAGAACAAATTCAACAATATTTAAATTTATGGGTACTTTGATAATTTTGGATAAGATTCTCATCATTTTTTTACAATCAATCAAACATAGTTAGTAAAATTAACACAAGTTTTCTAGAGAAAAAAATTGACCTACCGAAAAATCTTCTCATAACTTACCGGTAAAAAAAACTTCCAACCATTTTTCCGATAAAAATGGTTCCGAGTAAAAAAAAATTCTTCGATATCAAACACCCCTCAATTTCATTTAAGTTTCCTTCTAAATCTTGAAAGTATTAGTTTAGTTTATTTGTATAGCTTTTGTTTTAGCCGGCCTCCACAGATCCAATAGGTTGAGCTCAATACTAAGGATTCATATTAAGAGCCTTTTGGATATTTTATGGTGAGCTATAGAATCTTATCATATACAGTCTCTCACTTTGTGCACAACTTATCATTATATACTCACGATGGGTGTAACAATGGAGTTTTAGCACAACTTTTTCTTCTCTCTCTCATGGCTAGAGAATCTTGTTTCCTTATATAAACTCTTACATTTTCAATGAAGAGGCATCTAATTTCTCACACTTGAGTTGTTAATCTAGTGAGATTTAGAGCCACCTTAATCGAAATACATTATCCCCTATTACAGGGTTTTTTTTTACCCTTTTGCCCCTCATTAATTAATTAATAATCATTTTGCCTCTTAGCCAGAACTATCTATCAATCTACCCATCTTTAATCGATTAACTTGAATATTTAATCGATTAAATAATCAAAACTAACAAAAATAATTGACTTGAAGATTTAATCGATTAAATCTTCAATAATATGAGCAAAGACTATCAAGACATAAGAATTAGGAAAGAACAAGAGAGGTGAATCGGAGAGGATGTGTGCAGTGTGCACCATTATTCGGTTTGATTTGGTACAATTAAGTACAAACAACTATGCTTTTATTGTTGAAGTGGCGGCTAAGTGATATGTTGATCAGCATGTATGTAAATTCTCCAGGAGGATCATTTACAGTTGATAATAATTATGTATATGTTCCTTTTTTTTTTATAGTGTCTCTCATTTCTCTTTTTTCTCCACACATGACAAATGTTTCTTCTAACTTTGTATTCCTCCCTCCTTTTCGAAGGAAAGAGATACAACTTGCGAAATTCAAGGACAATGATTGGTGGAGCTCAGGGAGGACAAAATGACATAGATATTCAGGTATAGGCCCCATTTTTGATATGAAGAACTAGTAATGTTATTGTACTGTGACTATCAATCAACTCATATGTTCTTGTTGGTTCATTTTAACCATGTTACTATGTCTTGATAATCTTTGCTTTTATTATTGAAGATTTAATCGATTAAGTTAAAAATTTAATCGATTAAATCTTCAAGTCAATTATTTTTATCAGTTTTGACTATTTAATCGATTAAATCTTCAAGTTAATCGATTAAAGAGAGGTAGATTGGTAGATAGTTTTGAGTAAGGGGCAAAATAGTTATTAATTAATTAATGAAGGGCAAAAGGATAAAAAAAAACCCCTATTATAGCCATTTTTACATTACACTTTGGAGACTGATATTGTGCTTTGGTCTTTAAATTCAACCATCCTAGATTATAAATGTTGTAACCACTTTCCGATGTTCAAGAAATATATAATAAAAAGTTATTGGGATTGGTTTAGTGGTGAGAGATTAAAATAATTTGCATAAAATTATAAATTTAAACCTCATTATTATCATTGTATAAAAAAAGAAGGGAAAAGTTCACCAATGTCCTTGTGATTTGCTTCAGAATTATTTATGTTCCTGTGATTTTTTTTTTAATCACATATGCCCCTGTGCTTTGTAAAAAATAACAAACCACGGGGGATATATGTGATAAAAAACATATCCCTTTACAAACCATAAGGACATATGTGATAGGAAAAAAATTACAGAGGCATAGAAAATTCTGGAGCAAACTACAGCGGCATTGGTGAACTTTTTTCGAAAAAGAAAAAGAAATATATAACAAAAAAACTTTTTTGTTTATTCTGCCCGTGCATCCATGACGACTTCGTTATTTTGGGAGTTGGGGATTGAGAGAGAGATGCAATTTGCTCACTATAAAATCATTCATGTAAAATCAATGTTATTATGTTTGGAAAATGTGTCGTTTTCTTCGTTAGCCTTAATCTAATCGATGATGATTTAACAATGACAGATAAGCCAAGGAATATATTCTGCTGCAAAATGGGGAAAACATTAATGATGAGCGGCGGAGTAAGACTCCAATCGGAGCCCGATTTAAATAATTACGTGTATATAATTTTTTTAATTTTAGTTAGTTCATATCATAATATATTTAAATTATATTAATATAAAATATCTGAGCAGGAAGTATCAAAAAGAATTATAATTTTGTTAAATATTTTTTAATTTTATTGAATATATTTTAAGGGAAAACTGTTTGTCATTTTAAATGACAGTAAGTTATGTTATTTTAGGAGAGATACAGACACAGAAAATTTGAATTTTAAATTAAAAAAACCACTCACTTTTTCTCTCCCATGATTTTCGTTTTTCTGTATCTATCTCTCTCCTAAAATGACATAACTTATGTCATTTAAAATGACAAACACCAAACTCATATTTTAATTTTTTTATTTAAATGAAAATGGAACACATAAGTTAATACAACTTACTCAAATATCTCATCAAATACATTTTAATTTTTTGATAGGGCTAAATTACAAATTTTAGTCCGGGCCAAATTACAAATTTAGACTGGGCCAAATTATAATTAATTATATAATTATACATGATAAGTATAATTTATTAAAATTT